CACAGAATCACACTTCATGCTCCGGCTTCCTTCTGGCGGCACCAGATCTCGGCGCCTTTTTGGCGCTTCTCTCCCTTGCATCCTAATTAGGTCGCGTACTCCTCTGACGTCACGCAAAGTGCAAAGTGCAACTTAGTAATTAGCCGATTATATAGGTTACTTCGTCTAAGATTGGTATGTAGAAGCTAGGGTTCAGGTTTGGCCAGAGACTGAAAGCAGCGTAAGGTAAAAGCGGGGTGTCGGGTTTCGGCAGTTCGAGAACCACCGAGGACGAGCCAGAGCAGAAAAGCACGGAGAGGTCAATGATTGAAGTGCTTCACCCTTAAAATTCGACCCTAAATCCCTAAACCCTTAATCCCAAACTCTAGGCCCCTAAACCCTAAGCCCCTAAACCCTCAACCCCAAACCCGAAGCTTTAGTGCTTAGCGGCTGAACCCTTTCGTGCAAACCATGCAGGGCGCTCAGGTTTAAGCTTTCCTGCCCTGGCTTCTCTTATTGCTTCAGCAGTTCCACAGGGTTTAGGGTTTAAGGTTTAGGGAGGTGATTGCTTCAGTTGGAAGCCAGCCTACGTCGTTCAAACAGAATCAAGACCTCAAATTCTTTCCTACTACAAGGTACATGGGGTAAGGACCCTAAGCAGTAGACACAAGCTCGGTTTAATGCCGGCAGACCTGCTTTACCCTGCCAGGTTCGTCTACCCCATCTCCAAAGACAGGCTTGCCCGCAGGAGTCTCATGGGCGCTTATGGCTCGCAAGATTCCATTTTGATGGCAAGAGGCGTGTCGGAGACATCGAATAGCAAACAGGTGCACAGTTACGACTTCTAGCGGGGAAGACGGGTCCCACTTGCCGATACAGCAAGCCAGAAGCCAACCTTTATTATTGTGTTGCACTTATCATGAACCCGAAAGCCTGTACTGCTCCAGTCCACACGTATGATTGCACGTATACTCTGCTCCTTTTCGCAGACGGGCATAACCCATGTTATGGACCTATATCTATCTACACATGTGTCTCTCTACTTAGGTGTTATCTTCCTGCTGGGTTCGGATTCACCGCGGTCATAGCAAGGTTAGAGGCCAATGCCGCTACCTGTCAAGTTCAGTCTCGTTATACTTAGCATGTCGCAGATGACACGTTTTTCGGAGTAGGTATGTATCCATGCATCTATGCCTATGCATCTATGCGAGTCTATGCCTGCACGCAAGCATGCATGCATGCATGCATGCATGCATGCATGCATGTATGTGTGTGCATGTTTGTTCAGCCTCAAACATTGTTTAGGATTTTTTCAGTAGCGGTATACCCCCAGTTGCTTGGTTGCGCTGACCCCCAAAGGCTGCCATAGAGGTACCTATCGCGGGTAAGGCACCATATGAGATAACCATACATACACGTACCATACCTCTTTGAGCATGTATGTGGGTGTAATTATAGGTAATTAGATACATAGATAGATAGATAGATAGATAGATAGATAGATAGATAGAAACCCTTTCACGCTAAACCTCTAAAGCCCTAAACCCTTAAACCCTGAATCCTAAATCCTTGAACAAGAGGCGTCAACAAACAAAAAACCTAAACCCCTACAGCCCCAAACCCTCAACCCCCCCTAAACCCTAAACCCTAAACCCCTACAGCCCTAAACCCTCAACTCCCCTAAACCCTAAACCCCTACAGCCCTAAACTCTCCACCCCCCCTAAACCCTAAACCCTAAACCCCTACAGCCCTAAACCCTCAACTCCCCTAAACCCTAAACCCCTACAGCCCTAAACTCTCCGCCCCCCTAATCTCTAAACCCTAAACCCTAAAACCCTAAACCCTGAGCCCCTACAGCCCTAAACCCTCAACTCCCCTAAACCCTAAACCCTAAATCCCTAAACCCTAAGCCCCTACAGCCCTAAACCCTAAGCCCCTACAGCCCCAAACCCTCAACCCCTCTTAAACCCTAAGCCCCTACAGCCCTAAGCCCTGAACCCCGGAGCCAGGGGTTCGAGCACGGACTTCTCGAGATCTTCGATCCTCCCCTTCCGGGCCTTCGAGGCGCCTCGGAAGTGCAAGGGGTTTAGGGTTTAGGGTTTAGGGTTTAGGGTTTAGGGTTTAGGGTTTAGGGTTGGGGGGGGAGATGTCAGGAAAGGATTGTTTGTTTTGTTTTTCAACATGGGTGTAGGGCTTTGGGGGTTTCGGGTTTAGGTTTTCGGGTTTAGTTGAGGTTTTTAGGATTTAGGATTTAGTTTAGCTTCTAGTGTTTTGGTGATGAGCGGGGGCTTTGGAAAATGAGGGGTCTCTTCGTCAGGGCTCCTTCTGGATCCAAGGGTTGGGGTCTATCTACTCTACATCCACGGAGAACCCTGTGCCCCTTGACCGGGGAATATATCTTGCATTACAGGGGCCCTAATATTATGGTTTAAGGTATATTCCTTAATTAAGGGGTATTGGGTTCTCTGGGTCATGGGTCTCCCTTGTTACAACTCCCGATTCAGTTTGGCTTTTGTTGTGGTTCAGTGCTTATGCCACCTTTGTCATCATGATGGCATGGTTTGACAGTGTCCGAGTATTTTGCCTACGCATCTTTGTTTCCTTAGGGCTACAGTGCTACAGTAGCCGGTGCTTTTGCTAGTGACTGTTTTTTTTTTGTTGTTTTGACTGGGCCCAAAACCCTAAACCCGAAACCCTATACCTGCAATGCGGGCTTGTTCTGCTAAGTAGGAGGCCAAAAACCCTAAACCGTGTCGCTGGCTTTGCAAAACACACCTGGCTCCTCAGAGAACCCAATACCCCCTTAATTTTTAAGGAATATGCCACAAATCATCATATTAGGCCCCTACAGTTTAAGGTATCTTCCTCAGTTAAGGGGTATTGGGTTCTCAGGGTATCTAACTAATCTACCGTGAACCCTAAAACCCCTCAACCCTCGACTAAGCCTTGGCTAAGCCGTGGGCCGTTTGTTTTACTCTCTCGATGGCCAGGACCTGGGCCCGGAGGACAAGCTCCGCTACCCACTGCTGCAGCATGCTACGGTGCTTGAGGCACCTGCACGCAGGTTATCGGAGGCCGTCAGGTACGGTTTCGAAGCTTGGGGGGTTTCGAGTTTTAGGAGAGGGATTTCTGTTGCATCCCCTATCTGGGCAACCGCGGATAGTCTTGGAGAAGGTGTTTTGTGGGACTCGTGGCTGTGTTACTTTCCACTGTTCCGTTCCTGATGGCGCTTGATGGTGGTTATGGTTGTCGCTCTTCTTTCTTGATCTCCTTCTTCTTCTTCTTTGCGGTGATTCTCTTGCTGCTGTTCCGTCTGCTGCTGCTGCTGCTGCTGCTGCTGGCGGTGGTGGTGGGGGCAGTGGCGGACACCGTTTTGCCGGTGATTACATGGGTCAGTGCCCTGAGGAACTGGCACCCGTTTTTGCCAAACTAACAATACCATGCAATAGAATAAGTCGTCAAGCTCCTCATTAGAAAGCTTCCAGATCAACTTCGCAGTTTTTTCCCACGGCGATGCTTACTGGTAGGGCCAGCACCCCCATCAGGGCGCTACTCCTGTTCGTGTCTACCCTGCTGACACTTTCGGCACCCTCACAGCTCGGAATACCCAAGGTCTTGGCCTCTCCTTTGCACATTTCGTAACTTGCCACGGAGGTTTCTAGGACCCCTACGCAGACCCAGTCGTCCAGACGCGAAGTGACCGGAGGTGACCGTCCGAGCTGGTGACGCCTGGGTTGCAAATTGCAAATGTGTCTTGTTTAGCTTTTAAAGTTTAGCCGAAACGTAGGTTATCTCATTTTGTCCCCAATGAGAGCCCCTAGCTTGGAGAACTATATACATGATATACCCGCAGCATGGCCTCCTTAACGTGAGTTGGGGGCAGCTTTGCATTGGGGTCCGGCTCAAGGTACCTACTTCACTTGACTAGGACTCTAAACGCCTAAACCCTAAACCCTGAGACATGCTAAGAACAGGGACCTCGAGATCTGGAATGGGGATCGATTCTTTCGGAACACGATGAATTCCTAAACCCGAAACCAGTGCCTGATACAAATGGGCAGTTATCTAGATTAGCGCCCCTTTTTAGGAACCCCAAAGAAGACGCGGCACCCTCACAAAAAGGGATCCTAATTTAGGGGCTTTGGGTTTAGGGTTTAGGGAGAACTGTCTACCCTCATGCAACTAGCTTACCTCTCGATCCGGGGTGATCCCGTCTCGGCGATGCTCCCCGTCAAAATCGGGACACTGCAGCATGCCACCGCGAAAATACAGGCCCTGAGTAATTGTCAAGACTGTCTTGGGGTTCCTTATCTTTGTTATACTAGTGGCATGGTATACCACAAGACCCTATTTGATTGTTAAGGCCCCTGCATGAACTCAGAAAGCTTGACGGCCCAGTGGCCGGGACCAAGGACATGCTTTATCTGCCTGCCTGCTGGTGGCACTGTGTGCCTGGGCGGGAGAGTGGGCACAGGAGCGTTCGGATGTCGGATGGGCCGAAAAGGCTCTAGGCTGCTGGCGGATACTGCGAGAATAACTGGACATCCTACCTTAAACCCCTGTAAGCCCTAAACCCCAAACCCCTAAACCCTAAGCACCGCCTCGCGACAGTCCCAAAACCCTAAACCCTACTTTATTAGGAACACAAAATCCCCAACCATCGCCCCCCGCCCAAGGTGGAAGGCTCGGATGACCGCCGCCCGGAAAGCATTTTTTCGCCTCTGGCTCTTCTGGTTTTTGTGAGGGGTCGGCGTTTAAGGGGGTTTAGGGTTAAAAAAGAGTTAAAGGGTCGACAGAGTGGTCGGCTAGGACGCCATAAAAAGCATCAAGGCTGACAAACAACGCCAAACAACACCATCAACTACAGCGGCAGCTTTAGGCAGTACAGTGCGTGGAAGATGGTGCAAAGCGAAGCATCGCACTGGTACGATCAGCAGTGCTGCGGTTGAAGCCCCGCAGAAGAGCCATCAAGCTCCTGTTTCCGAGAGATCGCATATATCGTCGTATTTGGAAGCCAATGAATCGCCAGTATGACCTGCATCGTGGTGTGGGTAAACATAGTGGCAGGTTCAATGGGACCAAAAGCGGCAGACTGATTCAATGGTGAAACCCTAAACCCTAAACCCTAAACCCTAAACCCTAAAGATGAAAAAATGACAGAAGGCCTAGTACTGCTTGCGTGATATTCGAAGCCACTTACAGCCAAGAGGACAGACACGCGGAGTTGGCACTCCAGCGTGCAATACGGGAGCCAAAAGAAACCCTGAACCCCAAACCCCAAAGATGCACATGATGATCAGCTATGAGAATGTCCCTTTGCCCTAAACACAAAGCTCTAATATAGAGGCTTAAATATTTGCCAGTACTATTTTGGGAGGTCCTTGTTATAAGTATACTACTTCTTAAGCCCCCTAAACCCTAAAACCCTTATAGTAGCCCTTATAGAACCCCTTAAAGGAACCCCAAAACCCTATTCTAATTATCAAGGCCCCCCTTAGCTGAAGCCTTCAGCCGGCTCAGGCAACGTCATCCTGAACTGGTGGTTCGGACAACACGCGGAGAAGAAGCAGGTCGCGATATTTCGGATCGGAGGTTAAAGGGTTATGACATTAAAGGGGGTTTAGGGTTCAGGGGTTTAGGGCTTACGGGTGTAGGAGTCAGGCTCAAAAGCTCGAAGGTTTGGGGCTTTGAGCTTGGATATCTTACATGGATTGCCTCCGTCGACCATCCTGATA